GAATTCCAAAAAAAGATGATAGGAAATTAACAATGGCTGTTGTATTACATATTGTTATCTTCAAAGTAGTTGCACAGATTACCAGATATAAGCATGCAAGATTGATCAAACAATTAAACGTTAACTGTTCCTTTGAATAAACTATTAGAAATTAGTAGTATAATTATCTTAGCTCTCTTGTGTGTATATATTTTTTTCACTTCCTTCTTGCTTTCGTTTCTCCTTTCCCTCATCCCAGTTGTTCTTTCCTTTTGAGCAGTTTCTTTCCCTGATTTTTTGAAAGACTAAGTAAAATTGATAAACTTTTAGCCAACTTTATCACAAAGAAGAAAAAAAGACTCAAAATTATGTGATGAGAAATAAAAAGGGGAAATCACAACAGACTCTGCAGAAATCAAGAAATCATCAACACCTACTCTGAGAAACTGTACTCTGATAAGATAGAGAACATAGAAGAAATGGACAGATTCCTACCTGGATACATATGAATTGCCAAAACTGAATCAGGAAGAGTTAAAAATTCTAAATAACCCAATATCAGCTAATGAAATTGAAAATGTAATTTAAAACTTACCTACAAAGAAATCCCAGGTCCTCATGGATTCATTACTGAATTCTATAAGAAATTTAGAGATGATCTAATGCCACTACTGTTGCAGCTCTTTAGTGAAATTGAAAGGGAAGAAATACACCCAAAGTCATTCCTGGAAGCAAGTATCACCTTGAAAACAAAACCAGAGAAGGACCCAATAAAAAAAGGAAACTACAGGATAATCTCCCCAATAAGCATAGACACAAAAGTCCTCTCTAAGATACTGGCAAACAGAATACAACAAATCATCAAGAAGATTATTCACAATGACCAAGAAAGATTTATCGCAGGGATGCAGGAATGGTTCAACATATGCAAATCAGTAAACATAATACACCACATCAACAGAGCCAAAGGAAAAAAAAACATATGATCATCTCAATAGATGCAGAAAAAGCATTTGAAAATGTCCAACACAAACTCATGATAAAAACCCTATAGAAAAAAAGAGTAGATGGTCTTTATCTCTATTTGGTTAAAGCCATCTATGACAAATCCACAGCCAAAATCACACTGAATAGTCAAAAGCTGAAAACTTTCACTCTAAAATCAGGAGCAAGACAAGAATGTCCACTATCACCATTGCTATTTAATATAGTTCTGGAAACATTAGCCAGAGAAGTTAGACAAGAGAAAGAAATAAAAGGAATAAGGATATGAAAGAAAGAGATTAAATTATCATTATTGGCAGATGACATGAAACTCTACATAGAAGACCCTGAAAACTCCACCAAAAGACTTGTTGATTTAATAACCAAGTTCAGTAGTGTAGCAGGATTAAAGTCAACACTAAAAAAATCAATGGCATTCCTGTACACAAGCCATCAGCACACTGAGAGAGAACTCAGGGAAACAACACCCTTCACAATAGCATCAAAACAGAAATACTTAGGAATCAATCTAACAGAGGAAGTAAAAGATCTCTACATTGAAAATAACAGTACTCTGAAAAAGCAGATAGAACAGAACGTCAAAAATGGGAAGATATTCTTTACTCATGAGTAGGAAAAACCAGCATAGTAAAAATGGCCATACCCTCTAAATTGCTATACAGATTTAATACACTCACAACCAAAATACCATTAACATACCCCACATAACTAGAGAAAACAATCCTAAAATTCACTTGGAACCATAAGAGATATAGAATAACAATGGCAATTCAGGGCAACAGAAGCAAGGTAGGAGGTATCACAATCCTTGACTTGAAATTATACCACAAAGCCACTGTGATAAAAGTAGCAAGGTACCAGCAAAGAAACAGACCTGAGGATCAATGGAAAAGATTTTAAAAATGTAGAAACAACTCCAAGCACACTCAGCCACCTTTTCTTTGACAAAGGGGCCAAGCATGTTCACTGGAAGAAAGATAGCCTCCTTAAAAAATGGTGCTGGAAAAACTCACTTTCCACATGCTCAAGGTTAAAACTAGACCCATGTCTATTACCATGCACTAAATTAAAATTGATACGGATAAAAAATCTAAATAATAAAACAGAAAAACTAAATCTGCTGAAAGAGAAACTAGGTAGAACCCTTGAAAACATAGGTATAGGCAAAGATTTCAAATACAAAACCCAGATTTCATGGGAAAAACTACAAAGAATCAACAACTGGAATGTCAGTATATTAAAAAGTTTTTGTGGGCAGGGGATATAGCTCAATGGCACAGTGCCTGCCTGGCAAGCCCAAGGTCCTGAGTTCCATTCGTGGTACCACCGCCTACAAAGAAAAAGAAACTACCAAAAAACTTTTGCACAGCAAAAGACATTATCAATAGTGTGAAAAGACAGCCTACTGGGTGGGAAAAAGATTTTAGTCAGTTGTCCCTCAGACAGAGGCCGAATATCTAGAACATATAAAGACTCGAAGCTCAGTTGGCGAATGCTTGCCTAGCATGCACAAGGCCCTGAGTTCAATCCCCAGTACCACAAAAAAAAAAAAAAGAATTGAAAAAACTATTAGATCCCCCAAATTTAAAGACCACTTCAAAAGTGGGCATCTGAGATGAATACACTCTTCTCAGATGAAAAAATACAAAAGGCAAATAAATGTATGAAAAAACATCCAACATCACTGGTCATTTGATTTTTTTGTTTTATTTCATTTTGGTACTAAGAATTGAACTCAGGACTTTGGACTTGCCAGGTAGACACTTTGCAAATGAGCTGCATCCCTGGCCCTGGTTATTCGAGAGATGCAAATTAAAACAAATTTGAGATTCCATCTCACTCCAGAAAGAATGGCAGTTATTGACTAATCAACCAATAACAAATGCTAGAGAGGCTGTGGAGAAAAGTAATTCTTCTCCACTGTTGGTGGGACTGTAGACTGGTGCAACCACTGTGGAAATCAGTGTGGAATTTCCTCAAAATATTAGGATTACAGGCCCCATTTGACCTAGCTCTTCCCCTTCTTGGTATGTTCCTAGAAGAATTAAAAATATCACACTGCAGTGATATGTGCACACCCATGTTTATAGCAACAGTTTGTAATAGCTAAATCTTTGGGAAAAAAACAAATGAACATCAACTGAAGAATGGTTAAAAAGTACATGGGGTTTTTAAACAATGGAGTACTACTCAGCCATAATAAAGGATAAACTTGAGACATTCCTAGGTGAACGCACCTTAAGACCATATTCTAAAGTGAAATAAATTGGACACACGTATAAATATCACATCACTTCCTTGGTGTGAGAAACGATAAAATGGAAACAAAGCTTCTAAAATGAGGAAAGGAGGGAAATAGAGGTTGAAGGGAGGGAAGGGGATTTAAGAAAAAGAGGAAGAGGAACCAGGACATATCATGTACAGGTACAAATTCCCTGTGATGAATGTGACCATTTTGTATATCTACTTTATAGCAATGAATTTAATAAAAAAGAGATACTTCAAAGTAGTGAAATAAAATACAACAAAATAACAAGAAGTAAATTAAAATAAAATATCAGCAAAAATTTTAAGATTTAGAAAAAGTCTTAGATGTGAACAATTTTACAACCTTAAATATTTGAATAAAAAGAAAAAAGGGCTGAAAATAATTCATTGTGAATTTACTCTTTTAGTTAGAAGACTAACATGATAAATTGAAGAAAGATACAATTAAGAGCAGAAATCAACCGGTACCGGAGAAAAACCAAAAAAAAAAAAAAAAAAAAAAAAAAAAGAGCAGAAATCAATTAACTACAAATCAAAGGTAAAATACAGAACAACAAAACAAAACTTAGTTTTTGAAAAACACCAATAAAATAAAAAAACTCTGAATAGATTTCCAAGGAAAAGGATGGGGTAAGACCAAAAAACATTATAAATGAAAAGGTAATGAAACTACAAATAAAATAGGCTGGAAAAGTAGTATCAACAATTATTTTGAAAGCAAAAATTTGATAACTTACATGAAATGAATGAATTTTTAGAAAAATTTGCTTTGTGAAAGCTGACTCAAGAACCTTTTGTGGGAGGGATATGGGGATTAAACTGCATCTTCATACTGAGCTACGTTGCCAGCTCTTCTTCTTATTTAATTGTGAGACAGTCTTGTTAAGTCTCTAAATTGCCTTAGTTGGACTCAAACTAGGCATCCTCCTGCCTCAATCTCCTACAGTCCTGGGGTTAGAGGTATGAGACACTGTGCCCAGAAAGAAGCAATTTTTCAAAAACCTGACACTTTCTGATATGACTAATAAAACTGAAGGAGTAGTTAAATTTTTTCACACAAAAAAATTTAGATCCACATGACTTTGTAGCAAACTTTATGAAACTTTCAAGGAAATGATCCTAAACACTACACAATCATTTTATTGTAGTACAATATACACAAGATAAAAATTACCATTTTACTTTTTTTAAGTGTACAGTTCTATGGTGTGCATTACATTCCAACAAGCACTGAGATGATAGTTCATTATAGCTGTAATTTGCATTTTCCTGAAGATTAGTGTTGTTGAACATTTTTTTCATATACCAGTTGGAGAGTTGTCTGTCTTCTTTTGAAAAGTGTCTATTTTGGTTCTTTGTTTATTTTGGGGTTTGACACAGATACACACAGACCCCCAAATTTTTAAGATATTAAAATCAAATTCATTGTGAAAACTGTATTGCCATACAGGTTGAGGAGGTAGGAATTATATTCAGGTCTCTATGATTCCAAATTTCAACTTTCTTCCACAAAGCAAGCACTGTTAGGAAAGAAACCTGCCCTCCACCTCCAGCTACTGTCTTCTTCTGAAGATGCAATTCAGACTGACTGGAGTAGAAAAGAGAAAAACCCAGGAACTGGGTGCTTCTCTAGATATTTTTATCTGATTTCCAGGTATTTATGAAAGGAAGTGGGTTTTAAAAAGAAAAGACTTTCTGAGAAAAAAATATAAGTAAACTAAACCACTGATTTTTTCCTCCTTTTGTAGAACTCCTTGGAAGAAGAGACTCAAAAAGGTGTTGATGATTTAGTGTCCTCCCAGTTTTCTGCAAACACCCACAGTCTGGCAAGTGGCCTGTCAACTGTAAGCAGTCCTCTGGCACATGTGGAAATTTTCCTCTTCTCTTAATAATTTTATGTGCATTTCCAGAAGAGCTATTCGTTCTCTTAAGAAAATGTATAAGGAGTGAAACAGCCATTGTAGGTTCCTGCTTAGACTTTTCCCACAGAATACTCTTTGGTCTAATTTTGTGTGTGCTTTTTCTAAGCTCCTGATTGCTTCCTTCCTTCTTCTATGGTAATTGCCTAAGTTTTAAACATTCCTATTTCATGAAGAGTTAGAAGAATGGAGTTTGAGCGCTTCCAACACAGAAGAAATATGTTTTTAAGGAGAAGAAAATGCTAATTAACCTGATTTAAATATTAAACATGTATAATATGTATTAAATTATCAAATAATACCTTATAAGTATATACAATTATGTGTCAATTTCTAAATCTCTTCATTTCCTATTTTAAGCCCCAATCAGTTCAAGCCTATAAATTATTTCAGTACTCTGCTGAAAAGTTTACTTGATACCATTATTTCAACTCCCCAACTGTTTACACTGCTGTTCAAAATTTTCCTAAAACACCTACCCAGTCAGATTGTCCTCCTACTTACAAAATAAAGCACCTTCTTACTTCAGAGGCCAATGTCCTCCCTGAGAAGATGAATTTAGGAACCTCTCTTAGTCACATTCTTGTCACTGGGATAAAAAAATGAACAACCACAATTTAAAGGAGTAGAGGTTTATTCTGACTCATTTTCAATCCACAGTCAGCAGGCTTAAACACAGAAATGGTATGGTGGAACGACCTATGCAAAAGAAAGCTGCTCACATTGTGCTGTCCAGAAAGGACAGAGAGAAGTGAGGAGCCAAAAGGGACATATACACTTCCAGGACATACTCCCAATTACCCACCTCTTCTGACCAGACCCCCACATTCCAACAGCAAGTCAACTATATCTCTACAATGATTCAGTCCTCTTCCAAAAGCCCCACCTATGAGCAAATGAAGTTTCTGAGGGACATTCTTGATCTAAAGCATAACATCCATTCCTGGACCCAAAATACCCGTGCACATCTCTTTATGCAAAATATATTTAGTCCACCTCCAAGAGTGACTAAATTCTTAACATTTTCAATAGTGATAAAAAATCTAAGTCCAAAGTATCCTCTGAGACTCAAGGCAAACTTTTAGCTTGAGCCCCCATAAAAATAAAAACTAATTTTAAATACTAACATACAGTGACGCAGGGTAGGCATTCCTATACAAAAAGGGAGGAATAGGGAGTTAGAAACCAATGGGACCAAAGCAAGATGAAACCCAGTGAGGCAAACATTAAATCTCATAGTTCCAGGACCAGCATCAGAGGCATATCGTAGGAAAATCTGAGCTCCAAGATGCTTGTGCTGCTCTGCCCCTATAACAATGTCAGTTGCAGCTCTCATGGCCTCTCTCTTCAGGTGGTTCTGCTCACTGCACTTTCAGCTTCCCTCTCACAGCTTAATATGCTTCCCTTTCAGGAGTGCACTGAATGGTCTCCTAGGCCTTCTAAAATCTGTGTGGGAGCCTCTATGACCCTATAACTTTTGCATGTCTCATGCCCATAAAATCCACACCACATGGATAATGATTCCAAATTTCATATTTTTTCCACAAAACAAGCACTGCTAGGAAAGAAACCCTGCCCCCACTCACAGCCACTATCTATTCTTCTGAAGGTGTAATTCAGATTGACTGGAGGAGAAAAGAGAAAAACCTAGGAATGGGTGGTGCCAAGATCTATTATCAGCTCAGGCCCCCTTGGATTATGGCTGCAGAGGTTTCTGAATGCCCCAGTAGTTAAGCACTACGAAACAGAGCTTGGGGAAACAATTCATGAACAGTGTGCCCTGGATCCTCTGCTCAGAGCAAAGCTTTTCATTTTTTTATCTTTGAGCTTGTGAGGGACAAGGTCTTGATTCCTGAGATGCCCTCAAGGGAACTGTCTTAATGCAAAGCACTTAGCTTCTTTTTAATGCTAATCATTCCCACTACCAAGCTGTACTGGGCAAAAATCTTGCAGTCTCTAACATTATGGGCCACAATTTTAAAGGACCTTCCTTTATGGCCACCAGCAATATTTTTCAAATTATTTATTTCTGTTTTTTGCCCTTGCTTCTCATGCTAGATAAGTCTAAAAGCTACCAGCAAGACTCATGCCAGAACCTCCCTATTGCACTTCCTTGAAATTTTCTCCACCAGATCAATTAGTGTACTCCACTTTGTCCAAGTCCTTTGCAGTCTCAGGACATGAGCCAATGTAAACAAATCTTTGCCAGAGCATAACATGCAAGATTTTGAGTCCAACTCCCAATAGAATCCTTGTCTCAACTGAAACCTACTGAACCAAGTCTATACCTTCTGCATTTTTGTCAGCATCCTGGTGGGAGGTACTTCTTCCATGGCAACCAGGAAGCTACATGGGAAGTGAAGAGGAAGGGAGAGAGATACATACTTTCAGATCATGACTCCAATAACCAGGCCCTAACCAGACCTCACCTCTTCACAGCAAGTTAGGTATAGCATCCCCAATATCCAATCACTTTCCACAAGCCACATGTATGAAATATGACTCCTTTGGAGGAACATTCTTGATCTAAAGCTTAGCAAACTACTGTGTTCTTACATCTATCCAAGCACCTACAAGTCTTTTTCTTTGCTTTTCTGATTTCTATTGCTCTAATACCTTTTTTCTTTTGGTCTTTGGATGACTTCCTTAAAGAATTCTCAAGCAGGCTCTGACAGGAAGTGGACCTACCTAAATGTGCCTGATGCTGATTCAGACACTGTGAGTTTTCAATTCTGCTTTTTCCTTCTTTTTGCCATACTTCACAAGTTTCATGGTTTGGTAACTTTGATTAGGTAGGCAATTCTTCCAGCACTTTTTTACTTGTGTACAGTTGACCAGTGGTTCTTTTGAAAAGACTAAAGAGTTTATCAGAACTCAAGCATTGCAATTCATTAAACATTAGAACCAGAGCTCAGAAGACCAGTCAAAAGACACATGATCCAAAATGCTTTACCATTAACAAGTCCTTTGAAGTAGTATGCATCTGTATTTTATGTCATAGCTTTGGCTTGGTTAAAAGTGCAACGTTTTAGTTGGTAGTAAAATTGCTAAAACTTCCTTAAGTTCTCCCAAGCCTCAGCATTTGTGGATTCTTAAATCCTCTATCCATTAGGGTCACCTGCTTACAATGGATACTCTTTGATGATGTGGCCATAGAGACACGTGGTGAAATCACAAGGAGATTGTGAGATAAGTTTGGGAAGCTTTCTAACTAGAAACCTGTAATCATACTTTATGTTTTGGCATTGCCAACAGTATGTATGAACCAGTTTTCTTCTGTGTATCATGAGAGAGTTGAGGCTTATTCTTGAAGTCCTTAATAGTCAAAGCATGGTCCAGGGACCAACAATATTGCCTAACCTAGGACAAAGACTTTAACATTTTCTCAGTTCATAGAGCTCCCAGAGCAGTGGTGGCAAACCTAAAGCATGCATGCTGCAGTGGGCTGTTTGTATCATTGAAAACCCTAAAAGATTCACCATCACTCCTAGAGTTTCAGTGGTTCTTTCATGGCACTCCTAGGCCAAAAATAACAACTGGCTAGTAAATTTATTACACCATTAGGCCCAAGTATCTTAATAAGGTCTTAAATCCTAACAGCTTTACAGCTATTTGAAAAAATAATACAGGCAAATTGAAATAAAAATTAAATTTTATTCCATTATTAAGTAGCCTTTATTACTTACTAGTAAGATATGTGTCTGTTGAGGACTACACATTTTCTCAAATATTGGAATCTGGTTGAACATCACCACATTCCACACTGGTTTTTATAACACATTTGATGTTTGTTGCAGAAACTGCCACTCAGCTTTACACAGGTAAAAATTAGTTGAAAAAGAACACTGATTTCAGTGATGTTCCTCAGAACTACTAGTTAGTATGTGCATGGTATCTGATAAATGTTGCTGCATTTTCCTTTAAAATTTAAAATATTTTATGGTGCTCCCATGAGCTTGTTGTGGAATTCTAGGAAACCTGAACTCACCGTTCAGGAACGTGAGACCTAAGTGTTTTTGTTTTTTTTTTTTTGGAAAACATTATCCCAGACCTCACCCCAAAATGAATCATCAATCAGAATCTTCAGTTTACCAAGATCCCTTGAAGGGATATACATAAAATTAAAGTTTGAAAAGCACTCCTCAAAGTCACCAGCTTGCTAAACATGAATACAGCTTTGTGTTAGGAATAAGAAAGACAAAATAGCTTGCTCACTGGCTATCTTTAAGTTATATTTTCCAAATAATTTTGGTGTTCTTGGCTTGCTCTTGTCCTTAACTTAAGCTTAGAAATGATATGAGCTATATTACCCACATCCTGTTCTTTAAACAGTCTCTAGGCTGAGCAGTTGGAGTAACATAACAACTTTTGCTGAAAAGTTAAATTAAAGACTACGTATGCACACATGTGTGTGTGAGTATATGTCTGAAAATGAAATCTAAGGTCCCTTTGTATTCACCATGTCCTTGCTTCTCAGTGGTTGACAGAAGGGTTATAAAATTATTAGATCATTCATTAAAACCTTTACATAAGCTTCATGAATATCACTGCTTTTGTTACAGTCATATTACCAAGATACAGAGTTTTTGCTTCTGGTGCTAAAGGATAATTTTATTACATTTAATTAAAAATACACCTTATATCATTAGTGTCTCAACAAAAACTTGATTCATTCTAGTAGATTTGGATTTTTAGAAACTTTTATTATTTGTTTTGGGTACAATTTTATTGTTTATTGTTATAACTTGTGAGTTGCTATTTTGCAAAGAATTATAGGTCATGGCCTTATAATATGTCTAAGTACAAACACACTATCTGTGTAACCACACCATATTCAGTTGAGGAATCACAACAATTGTGGACATGTGATATTCTTCTTGCATATTTTTGCTAAAGTTGCAATTATGGATCCCCAAACTCTGATGAGATGCTCCTTGTGGGTGTCAGAGAAAGAAGGTTTGTAGCTCTTACTATCGCAGAATATAAGATGACCTTTTCTTTGTCCTAGTCAGTTTATTCTCGTCTTCGAAGTTTATTGAACTTGAGTCTACTAGTAAAAAGCAGAAAGTTGCACGGATGTAGAGGGGAACTAGTATTAGAAATTCCTCAGAGACCCTGCATTTATTAGAAGAAATTAATAAACAAGTTTCACTAACCTATAATGGCAATGCTTCTCCACCCAGCAAGTGTCCTGCTTTCCTCACCAAGGGCACTAGATCTATTTTCTCTTCTTGGGCTGAAATTTAGTACAGCAGGAAAACAAGTGACTTGCTTTCTCTCTGTTTTATAGACTTCCTTCTTTATTATAAAGAACAAGATTTATAATTGAATGATGGGGGTGAGTTCTGTGAAGAGATCTTGGAATAACACATGGTGCCTTCTTTCATCTTGTTTATTCCAGACAAGCCTTAACAGCATGATGAGTGTTTACAGTGAGACAGGAGACTATGGCAATGTGAAGGTCAGTGGTGAAATCCTTCTCCACATCAGCTACTGCTACAAAACTGGCGGGCTCAACATTTTTGTCAAGAATTGCAGAAATCTGGCCATAGGAGATGAAAAGAAACAGAGGACAGATGCGTAAGCACATAACATGTTCCTCAGACTATTTCAAGTGCTCCCTTCTTTGCCTGTATGTTTCTTTTCCAGAAGAGCCTTACTATTCCACTCCATTCAGAGCATTTTCAGAGCATTGTCACTTTCCTCTTATACCACACGTTGAAATATTCTTTGAAGTATGTAAACAATGGCTATGTCCTTGGTTATCCAGTTTTTAAGAGGCCAGTACTCAAGATGATTCAGGAATGACAAATTTGTAGTTTACACAGCTGCTCTTTGAGATAGAAGCTGACATATTGGCACACTCAGAATGTACAAGAGTATCCTGTTGATTTTTGTTCTGGGAACTCTTCCAGAGAAAATTTCCAAGCTGTTAGCCAATTGAACAATGCAGAAGACAATTATTAAGCTTTTGAGATCCTAGGGATCAGCCTGAGAGAGCAGGTATGAACCATGGTTTGGAGGGGAGCTAGATGTAAAGATATTCTGGGAGTCCCCACAAAAACTGTCAGGTACGATTCACTGGAAGGACCCATATGACTCTACTTATATTTATAGCCAATGAAGAGAAAAGATACATGGAATGAAGTCATGAAGACACGTGACTCAAGCTTCCAAGAATCCTCTTCCAATGAATCACACAGGCTGTACTTAATTCTTGTAAAATATTTTCTACCAGGAACGTTTGTTAGAGGCTTAGGTGGTCACATACCAAATTTCCAGTCTCCTAGAAGAAAAACAAATGTTCAGCATGAGCTACATTGTTTGTGCAAACAGTTTGGGCTCAGTGAGCATTTTTATCAGTTCTAAGAACAGTGAGAAACGTTCCAAAATCCAAGTTTCCAGTTGGCACCTAAGAACCAAAGTTACGAGACTTTCAAAGGATAACAATCTCAGGCCTACCATGTTAGCTCTTTTCTGTCCAATTGCTGACCTAGGTACAATAAACAACTCAGCAAAGCTGGTTTTAAGTACCCTAAGATAGACGAAGGAATGGATGCTGAATATAGAAGAGTCTACCTGGCTCTTCAACTAAATTTCAGAGGACTGAAGGACCAATGTACTTATTTTGACTAGCATGGAAAGGGGCCATCTAAAACTCTGGTAGACGTACTTCAAAGGTCTGGTAGCATTCTGTGTGCTTTAATCTCCAAGGGGCTCCTAAAATTATGCAAGCCAAGGTATTGGGTCAAATTGCTATTGTGACTTCAGGTTGTCATTTTCTACATCTTGCAGTCCCATTAACTTAATCGCCTGATATGAGAAAATGGGACTAGGAGAAGAGTAAGTTTGTGAAATGATTGACAATGATAACTGATTACATTTATTGAATACTACAATACATCAACTTCATATATATGTTGGTTAATTTAATGCTAACAATGCCATGTGTTACATACTTTTATCACCCCAGTTTTATCATGGAAACTGAAGCACAAGAAAGTTAAATCCTTGGGGTATTCAGAGCCCATAAGTCATGCGGTGATTCAAAACCAATTGGCTTGACTCCAGATCCTTCACTTTTTATCATTCTTCCTTACTGCTTTTCTCCTTTGAAAGACCATCTATAGACTACATTTTCTTTGGCCCTGTCTCTTATGCTTTCAGCTTAATTCATTGAAATCCTTAAACTTTTCTTGCAAATGTTTCCAAATAATTGTTTTCATCTTTTACTATTTATAGTTATGTCAAGTCATACCTTCTTCCTGACAAGTCTCGAAACAATAAGCGCAAGACCAAAATCAGAACAGGCACGAATCCAGAATTCAATGAAACACTAAAGGTAAATAAATACTCCTGTAGCAATACTTGTGATATTGGTCAGAACCTTGTGGATTTTGAAGTAACTATAATGAAGCTTTTATTTGTATGTTAAGAGATGTATATGTTTTTGAAAACTGGAGTTTGAGTTACAGTATTACTTCAGGCCTTCCTAATAGTTTTTGGAACAGAAAAAAAATGTAAAACACTTACTTTGTTACTTGTCTGCTGCTGCTGCTGCTGCTGCTGCTGCTGCTGCTGCTGCTGCTGCTGTTCAAGTTGCACCTTGAGTAAAGATGATTCAGCCAAATTATATCTGAACTGATAAATCTTTGATAGAAAGCATGTTGAAACCTTAGGAAAACTGCTTTTATCAGATTCCTTTAAGTGAAGTTTGTCAGAATTTTGACACAAATTAATAGGTCCCTGTGTTCACAATCATTATTTTGCTAATATAGTGTGAATATGTGCTGTTTCTTGTTAAGATTTCAGAATTCTGCTAAATTTAAGAATGTGGTTAATGAAGAGTGGAGATGCAGGATCAGATTTCAGAAATCTCAGAGAAAGTGGCCTAGATAAAATATGGCCCAGGCTTTTATCCTAAAGAAATTTCTACTTCTAGTGGGCTTCCATGTTACAATTCCTTCTCTCACCTTAGACCAATCAAACCTAGTATGAAATATCCAGGAAGAATGAAATGTAGAAATTATTGTCAGTTTCAGGAAATTAATGCACTTGTGCCTAGAATGATGAAGACAGAGTCCTGCACAGGAGAAAGGTGATGAGGACAGAAACCATGAGCTTGTGTGTTCAAGGAAGGCACTGTGGAAGCACAAACCAATATCAAGGTAGATCAAACTCAAAATAAAATTTAAAAAGGTGAGAGGATGAATTCTGTGACCATAACAGGATGGATAAAAAAGATGAGCCCAAGCAAAAGGATAAACTTGGTGATGGGATAAATTCAAGAAGCAGGGAGGCAAGATTAATCATGATAAAACAAAAAGGATAGGAACACACACAAATCCAACATCAGAGGTTAGCCTGAAGTATGACTCAAATGATGGTTGCATAGAACAAACAGAAAGTTGGAAGGCATGTGAGCTGTGGCCCTAGGTAGCAGTCTGCTGGAAAAGGAGAAGGTAACCCAGTAATATCCTCTTTCTGCTCAGTTCGTGCACATATCTTGTCACCTCTACAGTGAGACCAAGCTTTATGTAGTTTAGTGTCCACAAGTTTGTCATTGTCAATACTTTTCAGGACTTAGGAGGTTTATTACAAGTAAATAAGATATAATTTAGAGAACTGATAAATTTAACTTTGAGCTATTGGGTAGATGTGAATAAATAAATAGGCCAATAAAAAGAAGCTAAAGTATAAAGAAAATAAGCTTCTTCACTTGACACTTTTTATGCCCTATCTGGAGTTTATTTCCCTCCCAAATAATGTATTTATATATCTTTCATCACTACACCTGGCGTAAAATTAGTTTATGGAACAGAACCTCAATTATAGTAGAAGCAAACTGCTTTCTTTGGGTTTGTTTTGTTCATATTACTGATGTCTATGATCTGAAAGATGGGGGCAGTAAATTTCTGGAATTGGACAAATCTTTCCTTATGGAATGTGATGTTGTTCATCTCATTTACAGTATACCATCAGCCATACCCAGCTGGAAACAAGAACCTTGCAGCTCTCAGTCTGGCACTATGATCGATTTGGACATAACAGCTTCCTCGGAGAGGTGGAGATTCCTTTTGACTCATGGAACTTTGAAAATCCATGTGATGAATGGTTTGTGCTTCAGCCCAAGGTAGGATGTACGTCTAGATTAGTTAAACAGTTAAACATTAAGGCAAATTTGAGCAAAATTGATGTCACAAACCTGAAGACTCTGAAGGCTTCCAGAGATCAAGTGACAGTCTACAAAGATTAGTGGAGCAAATTTTGAAATATTATAATAAATGTAAATCTATTGTTTTGGAAACTGTGGAAATAGATTGTCTGTATGACAAGCCACATAATCATATGTATTATTAATTTTACTACTAAAAATGTATTCATCATTTGAAGCTCTATGTGGATAATCAAAAGAGCCACATTGCACAATCCTATTAGAATGAGAATGTCTTCATTTGCATATAGGCAAAAAACTTGAAAGGCATGAACAATTTCAAAACAGTCTCTGTTTCTCATTATCTGCAATTTGGATCCTAAGCAGAAATAGTGTTGCCTTGGCTCACAGGAGAGCGTGATCAGTAGCCACAGTATGTGATTTCCTACATTCCTCATTCCTGCTTTTGGGATTCATAAACACAGGCCTTGAATTATAGTAGGAAAAACAGGCTTAGAGCTGATTCTAAAAGCCAGTGTAGTGTAGCATTTTCTAATCTATGTCATCAATACATGAGAGTCACTGAAGGCAATTAGAGTCTTCCTAGATTTCTAGCAATTTTTAAGTTGAAAGGAAGGTGAGAAAAAAAATCACATTTATGCTACCAAAGGTTGTTCATTATATACAGGGAGGAAAAACATTACAGTAGAGATGGTGGATTCATATGACTTAACTTGGTTCATTCCTAGCTTCATGAGTGCTCATGTTAATTAACTGCCTGAACATTACTGTTCTCAGCTGTAATACACAGACACAGCTTCCTAGGGCTGCTGTAAAGCTTGAATAAGCATATTATGTAAGACTGTCAGCATTCTATCAGACACATTGTAGGCCATCAATAAATATTAGGTATTATACATATTTAGGAGTCCTTCCATTACAATAGACAGACGCTCCAGCTCCTACTGCTCAAACATCAAGGGGAGATTACTGGCTAGTAGTAATGAAGTATAGCTTGATCCAGATGTTCAAATCTTATCAAGGTCTTGGAGTTCATTGGCTCTTTTTACTTTATTGCCTTTATATTCAGTTTCCAAATACCCTTGGAAACTAACTCGCATTATTCCTAAGCCTGCTTCTTTTGGGCGCTAATGATTACAGTGACTAAGAGTCTCTCATCCTGCATCACACTGTCCAGAAGAAGAAAAAGTTCTTCTTCTTCCAGCAACGCCTTGGGCCTTGGGAAAACAAGAGCTCTAAATGCATTACTTGCCCATCCTAAGCTAATGATTGTGGTCGGAGAAGTAAGATGCATTGGTTGGCTTAAGACAATCAGAGTTTGCCCTGTTCTAAATGTGAGATTTCCCCCAAAAGAATTCAGGGCCAGTAACACAAAGGGAAAACTGAGGAGTACTGGTCAGTAAAAACAAATCATGCACCCCATATCAACACCAATAGCAGTTTTCTCATTTAATGATGCTAAGAACACTGTGGGATAGGGATCATTATCCTCACTTTATTTATTTGTATTTTGTTATTTATTTTTGAGACAGGATCTGACTATGTAATCCAGGCTGCTCTTGAACTTGTTATATAGCCCAGGCAGGCTTCGAACTTACAACAATCCTCCTGCTCAGCCTCCAAAGTTCTAGGGTTATAGGCCTGTGCCACCACACCCAGATTCCATTTTATAGACAAGGAGAATGAAGCTCGGAAGTTAAATAGAATTTAATGATGGGGTTTGTAATTATTGACCAGAATCTTGCCATAAAAAATTCATAGGAAACCTTTAGGATATATATTTGAGCTCTGGGTAAAATTGAAACAAAACGTAATTTCTTGAAAATAAGATAACACTAAACCCATGACCAGCATGAATGTGATAAAGAGGGGATATACATTATTAGCAACAAATATGCCCATAGTAGCATAACATTCCTCTGATATTAAATGTAGGAAATATTTCGTCATTCAACATGCAGTACCTCAGAACTGAATAAAAATCCTCACTCTAAAAGGTAACACTGACAGGACTTAGCAGTTTCCTATCAGTTGCATCGTTTTGTGCACTGTGAATGAGCACCATTAGAAAATGTCTAACGTCATATTTTGCATAACACAAAGGAAACTTAGCATGCATCTTAGTATGTGAAATTAATTTAGCTGTCATAAAGTTAACATTAAAGCACATAGGTGCTCCTTGGAAATCAATTTATGAGAGAAAAGAAGCATCCTTCCAGGTATCTTTCTGGAAATGGTTGAGAAACTTCACTGGGATAATATTTAAGCTCTCCAAGGTCTTTCTCAGGTATCCTTTGTGCTTATAGACCATAGTAATCACTTCCATGTTGCCATTGGGGGTTCCTTTTTTATTATCAGGGGGAAGCATCTCGGGGTTTCTCTGAGCTTGCTGAAGGTAACAGCTCTAATGGTGTTTACTGTCTGTGAACACCATCTGTCCTCAGCCAGATCCCCACACATTCCTAACCATTTGAGAAGGTCTGTTTCAACCACCTCTACATGAAGCTCTCTTTCAAAGTCTGAACTCAGGCTATTGTGGCTTTCTGCACATGAAGGCAGATAAAAGAAGTTCTCAGGAATTTTGGTACCCCTTCTATGGGTCAACCCTTAGTCAACAAGCAATAGGCAAGGAAATATAAAAGCCCACTTCCCTTACTGAAAAGAAGTAAAATTCTGGTGTTACTTATCCTCCAGAGCATCCCTGCCACATTGGGCTGAAATTACCTTCCATGGACCATTGTCCAAGATTGTAATCATATCTGCCCTGCTTTCTCCACCCCTTTACTGGTTCTACGGTAGCATTTCCTGAATAAATTACTTGCATAAGAATCTTCACCTCAGAATCTGCTGAATGCACACTGAAGAATACAGGAGAATTTAATATCCCTAATTCATATCATCATCCTCTGCTTAGATTCCTCAGACACATAGAGGAAAGGCTAAAGACTCAGACTTTTACTTGCTTACATACCACACCATATAAAACTGAGATGGGTGCCTTGGCATGCAATGTATGCTGAGCTGATGTGTTAACAAGCTTCTTTCACTATGACAAAATACCTGAAATAACATAAAAGAAGAAAGCTTCAATTTGGCTCACAGTTTCAGTCCATGATCAATTTGCCCTGTTGGCTTGGCCCTTTGGCAAGGCAGTGCACTATTATAGAAGCAGATGGCAGGGGAAGACTGTTCTCATGGCAGACAGGAAGCAAAAACAGGCAGGAAGGGCAGAGGTTCCAATGCCCCCTCCAAAAGCATGCCCTCAGTGACTTACCCTCTTCCACTGGGTCCAATTTCTTAAAAGGTCCACCATTTCCTGATAGCGCTGTAAGCTGCCAACCAGCGTTAAGCACATGGGCCTTTGGGAGAAGTTCCAAATTCAGAAGATCGCAGCTGAGCTTTCAGTAGCTAATTATCACCCAGTTATGTGAAGTGTCACTTCATTCTGAGCCTTCTGTCCGTAATTTCAGTGCAATAGGCACTCCATCAGCTGCAAATGTAGGAGAGTAGCCCTGGAGGCTTGATGTTTCTGGCAGATTATCCAGCTGAGAAGGTAAAATGGGAGCTACAGGGACTGATTTGCCTAGTAATAAGGGGTGAGAATTAATAATCCTTAAACATTTGGAAATACGAACATTCTTTTATATTAGGAATAGCGGGATGACATGCTGCCTTATTGCTTATTAACTCTGTATTATGGAAAGTCCCTCAGCACCTGTCCTTGTTTGTGTTAGGTATTACAGCAGAAGCCAGTGAGGAAGCTGGTACAGACAGAGAAAGAGCTCAAGATGGAAAAAAAAATCTTGAGGTGTCAAAATTGAGTACTGTAAACTTCCATTTTATTGCATGACACAGGCCTATTTATTAGGTATAACTTATTATCTGTCTGAAAGGGAGATTAGGTACTTAGACAAGAACTGTTTGTCCCTAAGAATTGCCTTTAAAGCCTTCCCAGGAGCTACTATTATAAAAACAAGGACCTCTGAAAATCAACAGTAAGCTTAGCTGTTTTTCCAAAGAAACATTCTCTCGTTCTGCCTTCAAGCAGAGACTAAATGGAAGCTCCTGTGGAATTATTGCCTGGCTAAAAGGCTTCCTCTATACTTTGCACTTTAGGCACACTCTTCTCTGTAATTTAGCACACCACCCGTAAATGCATTGGGAACTGTCTCTTTCTTGATCTGATGGAAAAGTGGATCTCTCATCATTTTCAAGAAGATAGAGAATGTCATCTGATTATTTCACAACCCTACTGAGGTAGTCTCAATAGTTCTTTATTGCTTCTGGATATGGTTTGAATCAATGCTAGCCCTCACCTTGGCACCCAGGACTCTCCTGATATTTCCCAGGCTTGTGTTGCAGCACAGGAAATCAGCACTGTACTAACATCCCCATTCTAAGGCAAATGCAGCTCTCCATGGCTTTTAAACCCACCAGTCAACACCTGCCTGTCTATGTATCAGGGAGGTCTCAGGCTATTGGAGCAGGCTTGGTCTGTGGGCATGGAAAGCCAGAAAAGCCTAGGAATCTAAGATCCTGCAGATTGAGAGCAGAGCCTTTGATCAATGACTGATGGTAAAGGAGCATAAACACTTCCACCACTTTGCTGCTTGTCTTAGTTACTGCCTTGTTGCTAAGAAAAAAATGCCTGATGCCCGAAGTTAAAAGGGGAAAGGTTTATTTCGTTCACAGTTTGTAGAGGTTTCAGTCCATAATTGGCTTGCTCCAAGACAGATTGGCATGGTAGACAGGCATCGGCATCGCAGAGGAGAAACAGTTCATGGCAGGTAAAAGCTAGCACAGCACGCAAGGGACATTAGCACCTTCTTTCTGCCCCTTTTATACTCTATCTAGGCCCTGGGATTAGAGCAATGCCAAACCAATCTGTGGACTGATTTAGCAATCACACATCTTTAATCCCAGCATCAAGCTCTCCAGATTCAGTCATCTCTGAGAAA